AGGCGAGGCTTCACCACCCATTTATCCCTCCGCCTTTCAACCAGACCCACATGTGATTATCGGCCAGGCTGGCACAATTAACTAACTCAGGAGGCAAAGCTCATCCGAGTAAGAGAGGCAAGCCCGTGAGGGTAGGTTGTGGTAGATTTGGGAGGGATTTCATTCCATAAAAACGTATTTATGTGAACAGTTTTGTTGGCATATAATTCGCATATATTAAGAAGAGTGGTCTAACCTTCACCATAATCAAATTTTAGGCAGGGGATTCTGAGGACTCAGCGCGACCATAGAGGAGCCTTTAAGAAGCCCCTGCCAAGTGAGTCCGATCAACCTGATGGGAGTGAGTTTGATTTTTTTTTTTTTGGCTTCTTGAAGCCTGGGCCCCTCCCCACTGCCCCAGACCTCAGCAGGAGTCCCAGTCTTGGCTTCCTGCACTTGCTTGAGATCAGCTCACCTGCTGGGTGAGCCAGGCCAGGGGGCAGGTGCCGCTCATCCAGGCCCCAAAGAGAGTCCGAAGACCTCACCTGCATGAGTCCACAGATCTCCTGAAAACGAGTGGCCACAGCTCTGGGAATCCTACAGAGTGGATCTTTTTTGTTAAGAAACTATATCCCCTTTATACTCTATTTTGGAAAACACAGATCACCCACCGTCCTAACCCCAGACATTAGGGACCTATGAGAGTACTTAGATACTCAGGGGGAGTCCTGGTAGTTTAATGGTTATGTGTTTGGCTGCAAATAGCAAGGTTGGCAGTTTGAAACCACCAGCTACTCTGCAGGAGAAAGACAGGTCTTTCTACTCCTGTAAAGAGTTATAGTCTCAGAAACCTATAGGGGTACTTCTACCCTGACTTACAGGGCCACCATGAGTTAGTATTGACTCAATGGCAGTGAGTGAGTGAGACACTCAGGAGCCCCAGTGGCGTAGGCTTATGCATTGGGCTGCAAGCCTCAAGGTCGGGAGTTCCAAACCACCAGCTACTCCAAGGGAGACAGATGGGGCTTCTACACCCAGAGCCAGTTCCAGTTTCTGAAACTCACAGGGTTGCTGTGAGTCTGCATGGACTCAATGGCAGTGAGGTTGGTTTGGGTTGTAGGCTCTCCAGGAGCCCGGGAGACATGGTCGGTTAAGTATTGGGCTGCTGATTCCCCAGGAGAACCACGAAGCCGTCTGCTTCTGTAAAGATGTCCAGCCTCAGAAACAGTCCTCCTCTGCCAGCATGGAGGCAACCACAGGGAGTTTGCGTTCTGGGTGTGAAGATCATGGCAACCTTGGGTGGGCAAGGTCGATGCTGTTCCGTACGGTTACCAGGGCTGTGACGTTTAGGGAGCTGATCACCAGGCATTTCTTCTGGGTGTTCCCAACAACCAGCCTTTCAGGGTTTAGTTGAGCACTTATGCATCGTGCCACCGGAGAACTCCAGGAGCCAGAATGGATCCCGTAAGGAAGGATTTGTTTTGGTTTAGATATTATCCATGACTATGACTTATTCAGTGATGTTGTCACTGTAGCCTGGCTCACGAGCCATCTGCCCCCACCCCCAAGCCTGGTCACTCTGCCTTTAGGGACTCCTGGGACAAGCAGGCCTGCAGGACCTTTCTTCTCCCCACCCCCACCCCCATCCTAGATTGGCCTCTCTCACCCATGGCTGGGTCCTCACCCTATCAGGCTAAGTCCTGGGAAGGGGGCTGACCATTCCTTCTTCCCGATGTGTTCTTCGACTGGGAGCTCTGCTGAAACCTGTTCACCGTGGGTGACCCTGCTGGCATTTGCATGCTGGTGGCACAGCTTCCAGCATCACAGCCACATGAAGCCACCACAGTATGACAAACTGACATGAACGGGGGCTGCCCATACCAGGGTATACAACTGGCGTGGTGCTGTCTGATCCCCTTCAGAGGAGCACATTGCCACGCCTCACTCCCATGGATCCTGACAAGTACAAACCTCCATCCTTTCAGTCAGCAGCCGGGTGCGGAGCCACTGCACCACTAGGCCTCCTTTGGGTGTTCTCAAAACTCACTGCCATCGAGTCAAGGCTGACTCACAGCGACCCCATAGGACAGAGTAGAACTGCCCCGAGGGCTTCCAAGACTAACTCTTTACGGAACGGAGTCTCATCTTTCTCCTGCAGAGAGGCTGGTGGTTTCAAACTGCTGACCTTACGGTTAGCAGCCCAGCGCATAACCGCTGTGCTACCAGGGCTCCTTCGGGTATTAGTGCTAAGGAATCAGCACTGGTTTCATTAGATTGAATAATGTGGTTATGTAAAAATACCCGTCTTTGTTAGAGGCTGATCTGCTGACATATATTGGGATGAACTGATTAATATCTGGAATTTACTGTTAAGTACTTAAGAAAATTAAGAGTGAAAATGGATAAAAGATGACAGGATGGAGGTTTCTAAAAATTTTATGGAGTAACTCAGTTACCTTTTCATTCCATTTTTTCCCCTATGAGCTTTTTAAAGCCCTGTCGTATATAAAGCAAACGGGGCCAGATGGTAATAGCTAACTCTAACGGCTCATTTCTTTTTTTTTTAAGTTTGAATTTTTTCATAACAAAAATATTTTTATGCAAAAAAGTATACCCATACACAGTATGGGGTAACTGTGCAGTAACAGATTTAAAATCCCAGTGAAAGCCTGTTAGTCCACATGCAAATAAGTCCCTGGGATGCTCAAGCATGCTAACTAGACACTAACTAGTCCTGCTTTAGTTACCAACCAAACACTTGATGACTTGCTCTCTCAAACTAAACCCACCTCAATGCCATCGAGTGGATGCCAGTTCATAGAGATGCTACAGGACAGGGTAGAATTGTCCCATGAGTGTCCAAGACTGTAACTCTTTACTGGAGTAGAAAGCCTTGTCTTTCTCCTGAGGAGTGATTAGTGGTTCTGAACTGCTGAACTTAATGTTAGCAGCCCAATGGAAACTACCAGGGCTCCCTGATGATTTATTCTAGGGGAACCAAAAAAAGAGAGATGACTTACTTGAAATCTTTTACCATGTGTGTTAGACCAGTTTCTCTAGAGAAACAAAACCAGGACACTTAAGATTAGATAGATAGATAGATAGAGCATGAAGGAATATAACAGCTAATTAGGCCACACAGCAGTACAAAGGGCTCAGTTCAACTCACTTCCATGGAACTCACTTCCAGTTATTATACTGGAAGTCCTTCAACTCATGAGGGCCACTGGGTCCAAGGTCAAGGAAGCAGACAGCTGAGTCTATCGTAGAGTAATGCAGGCAGTCCAGCCACAGGCAGCAAACAGCAGGCGGGTTACCAACAGTCAGCAGGATGACACGATCCGACAGTCCCAAGCTCAAGCAATGTACACACCAGCAGCATGGTGAAGTAGGTCTCGAAAAAACCTCAAGCTCTAGCAACACGATCCATGGGTTGGCAGTCCTACAGGTAGTGTAGCTCACGGGCTGAGGCAGAGAACTAGCAGCTGCACGCTGACCCAATCACCAGAAAGCAAGAGAGAGAAAGGCGGGGCTTACTGAGCCATTTATATCTTTGCCCTCCAATCAAACTGCAGCCTTATTAATCCCACATGTTCCT